CCTATATATCCCTTTAAAGATATAACTTATATCTTTAAAGGGATATATAGGGTTATTTAGGGGTAGTGTAGGGCTTGTATTATTGACAAATGTTGTTGCGGTCAGCAAGGCGCTGGACGTTCTACGATGCTTTTTTCATTGCGGGACGTGCTGCTGTTCTGTCAGATGCTGCTGAACGGATGCTTGCCCAAGTTATTTGAGCTATAGTCGATACTCCTAGTATCCCCCTCCATTCATAGCCCTTAAAATACTCCCCTGTATGATCCCCTATGACCCCCTTTAAGGAGTTTAGACTATAGCTCATTTGGGGGTCAGGAATATCAGGAGACGCTCAGCCAGTCCGTGATGCAGTTAGTCAGCAGTGCAAAGTTCTCGGAACTCATTTTGCATGATAATGTTCGTTGGGTCGTGGGCGCGAGCAACTCATGTAATGAAATACGCAGGGAACATCATGCATGCAGTAGCAATTCTCATGCATGCCGCCCTGCTACAGCAAGGTGGGCGATCAGTATCTGGACGCCGTGTACTGATTCCTGGCAGAATGGACGCCACGCTCACATAGAGAGCGTGGGCTGTGATTTGAGATGCATGATCCTACGGCTATGGGCTTTCATGGGCAGAGCTTGACAGGAAGACGCAGACGGTGCGATCGCTTTGTCGCGACTGGTTGAGGCTGAAGCGCGCCTCAGACACCCCCAGCCCTGAAGGTTGGGGCAGTGAAGATGCTGCTCAGCTTGTTGGAATGAGAGGTTTTGGGATCTATCGCACGCCAGCCCACCTACATTTATGTTCCCTTTTGTTGCTTCCACAAGCTGACGACCACTATTTGGTACAGTAGGTTCCCGAAATTGAAGGATAGACCGCAATGTACGACAATCCCTGTTAGAGAGATCGCCGGAAAGATGCCCCTAATTTCGGGAAGCTCCCCTTTGTCTTTTCAGGTAGGGTGGTCGCCACTGGGCAACATTGAAAGATACGGTCCGCATGCTGGAGCGCTCTACATGGGAGGCCTGGTTTGTTATTCAGCAGAGTCCATACAACATCTTATATGATCCATCCAGATATGTAGATATGCATGTATGGCCCTCATATCTATCCCAGAGGTGCCGCCTGGAAATCCGGCGTTCTACTATACGTACTCGTAGGTAGCATTACGGCCCAACAAATCCCAACACTAGTTGCCACACCGTTTCTATGTTAGACTATCAGTCCATAGGCAGTGTTCCATTTCTACCCATGTTGCTGCCGTTTGTGCCGAATGCTGTCGTCGAACTTTTCTGTTCGCAAACAACAGAAAAGTCCAACACTTTGATGCCTTGCAGGACTAAATCAGCAGTTCGAATGCAGCTGAAAGTAGCCGATGCTGATGCACAGTGGTGGGCAAGCATGCGGTAGCAGAAGTCCGATGCGTTCAACTTCAACTTATCCACTCTGGTAAGACAAAGAGGGACCTTGTACAAACAATGACGCTGGTATGCAGGGCCATCCAAATCACTGGGTGATGGGCTCCGGCCGGCCATCTTCTTTGATCACATTTTTGGACCGGAAAGGTCACAACTTCAAAATTTGCAAGAATCTACACAGTAGCTTGGCCTAGCAGAAGCCTCCCATCAGCACTCGAAGACAAAAGCTAGACTCCCCGGCGAGAAGAGGAAAAACAGTACGCAAAACTCTTAAGCAGTAGAGAACTCCTCCCATCAAGCCTCAGAGGAGTTTGAACTATCATCTTGCTAGGTGTGTGTCAGTTCAAGAGATGATGCTCAATGCCCTTCCCTACATTTGAAAGCCGACAGGTATGAGTTACTTCTGGCTGGACCCTCGTCGCAACGTTGCAGCGGCGATCATGACGGAGACATACTGGCAGGTTGACCCCTTGGGCTGGAAGGGTGAGCTCGACGATCTTGACCAGGCACCACTTCACTCATTGTTTAGAGACCGGGTGTTGCAGGACAGCAATTCTGATGTCGTAACGACCCACTTGTCTCCTATCCGCTTCAAAGAGAGGGTTCCCCAGCGCTCAACAGCACAGAGCATGCCTTCTGCTAAGAATTTATGTGCGGAATCTGCTTCAGAAGAGCGACTGGGCCAGGTCGTGCAGCAAGCGGTGCTTGCAGGCAAGCGAAAGAAGAGGGAACCGCAATCCGCGCCTTCTAAGAAGCCTCGGCGCTAGGATGCAATGTTCAAGACTTTGGGAGCCCTGAGCAGAGGGTTTAGCGTGTAGGATTTAGGGTTTAGGGTTCAAGAAATTCACTGGTACCTGGATACGACATTGAGTTCGGGAGATCCCAAAGTCTAGAAATTTGATGCCTGAGATTGCATTGGAAGTCGCAAATAGATTGGCATACATGATCAATCGAATAGGTGTTGATCTTTTTCAGCTGTTATATTAATATTCCTCGAAGATATCGAAAAAAACTGATTGAGAACGATGATGATTCATGAGGCATTTAAGACTCAATTACTTCTCCTTCTAAAACCATCGGAAGTATTGATGTCTACGAAACGGCGTTTACTAGATCAGCCATTAAATGTGGGAGATTTTCGTATTCGATGTTCCGTATTTGATAGTTTCTTTGTTTCAAACATTTTCGAAATCGTGAAGGTGGTTTCAAGTTCATGAAAACAATATAAGATGCTGTTAGACATCGAAAATAGTAGAGATGTGAATCAGGTTGTAACTGCATAGTAGGCAAGTAGCGGGGTAGCAGATACACGATATTAGTATATGTTATATACAGACAGACATGGATTGCATTCTGTGGACGGATCACCAATGGCGCCAGAAGCCCTGTTCCTCTCAACGCCTGAGTCCGCCTCGTTAGAGCCCCTGCCTGCAGCCTGCACGATGGTTCGCTGCATTGTCACTTGTTCTGAGCACGTGGGCCACCTGAATCTTGTCTTATTGCATGGCGGCCGCAAACCTATTGAGTGGCACTTGCTGTGTAATCCAGAAAGTCTTGCTTCTTTGGTGCAAAAACATGGACAAAACAAGGAATCCAACGCTTCCGGTCGTGAAGGCATTGGTGGACTCAGGTCACGAGGTGCATTTCTTGTGTTTGGAGATGGCGCGAGAGAAGGCCGAAGCGGTTGGAGCTGTGCTTCTGAGATCAATAATGGAGTTGTTGAGCTTCCTTTTTTCCCATGAACGGGGGGAAAGATTTTGCTTTGGCTTGTTTAGATCTAGGTTCCACAACACCATGGACGTGCAATCCGAACTCTATGCTGGCCGTGGCTTGGAGAACTCGGAGAAGCCCAAACTCGCTATTTTTAGCATCATGGAAGAACGTGCTTTGGAAATGTCGTTCCTCAACATCTTGAAGCCCTTTGCTGCATCAGCAACTAGTTTGAGTTTTCTGGCAATCATACACGTGCATGTGGCTTGCGTGTGGAAATGCCGAGCCAAATTCTAGATATAGACCTCGCTGGCATTGGTGTTGAAGTGTAGCTTGGTGTTCGGCTCAAGTTTGAACATGCCCTGCGATAGGCCAGTTTCAGAGGCAGTGCGCAACACAGCACACAAGAGCAACACACACACACACACACACACACACCTCTAACCCCCAAACCCCTGAATCCTTATACTTGTAGTTTCCATTATCGTTTCCATAATGCCTATATAAAGTTAGAGACTCACAGCATTCCACTCAGGCAGAGGACTAATGTAGACACGTGATGAATAAACCCCTTTGTTTTAAGGGACTTAATATTCAGATCCCTATGATTATCCCTATTAAGGGGAGGGGGGTTATTAATCACGGGTCTACATTATGTTCGTCAATGAACTTCAAAACTCCAACTCCATTGCAGTTTCCATCAATAGAGGGACCCCAACATGGACCCCCCAACCACTATAATCACTATTATGGGGATACCCCAAATTATACCCTTAATTTTGGGAAAGGCCTGCCCCATGCGTCCCTTGGGCAACGTCCGGGTTGCTCTTAAGAGACTTAATGTAAGTTGCTATATTGGGAAAACCCTAGTATTTACCATGTATACCCATTATGCTAACTTAATTTAAGTTCCTTATATCCCTATATTCCCCCGGTTTCCCCATAATTTTCCATTTTCTTTTTGATTTGATTCTCCACTATAGGGTATTTTATACCCTAAACCCTAAACCCTATAGTAACCCTAAACCCTATAGTAACCCTAAACCCTAAACCCTAGATGCGCATGCCAACCCGGGAACTTAGGTGCTTGAATGTCAGCCTGGAGCTAGAACTCCCCGGCACCATCCGTTTCTTTCAACGCTTCTTGAAGCGTGGTTTAGGGATTGCGGTTGAAGGATTAGCGTTCAGGGTTTAGGGTCAAGGGATTAGGGTTTAGGGATTAGGGTTTAGTTTTTTGGGCTGAGGGATTAGGGATAACTTCTTGAATTTCCCAACATTCTGGGAATATTGGTGCCTTTACAAGCAAAGTTCATGCAGGGACTTTAGTATCACTAATAGTTCGCAAAGTCGAAGGGTAGTCAAAGCCCCCAGCGGTCGCCTCAAAAACAACCCGATCATAGGGGTTACATGAGGATATACGGCCCCACAATCGAGAATCAAATGGACATCTACATGGGTGGTTGTCAAAATTATGGTCCCTCTTTGGGTACCCTAAATGTTAGGTGCCGTATTATAATAGGGATCCAAAAAGGGACCATAATTTTGACAACCACCCACATGGTAAATGAAATGGAAGCACCTCCAAACCCTAAACCCCTGGGTTTATCCTAGACCCCCCAAGTACCCTACAATAGGGTCTATGTAGCTTCTATTTGGGGATTCCTAGGGTCTATAGAGGGTACTTGGGGGGTCTAGGTATACCAGGTTTGAAGCCGGATGTTTTGGTCTACGACCCTTTGATCACCAGTCGAGCTGCACCCCTGGCTGCCCAGGCATCTAGGCTTTGATTCCCTTGTCATTGCAGAAGACCAAACTTACTGAGGGTTGGTAGGGAATAAGAGAATAGATAAGCTAGGGATTATATGGGTATTACATTTCCTTATTCCCCACTGACAATCACCAAGATGATGGTAATTGCAGTACCTTGGGGATCTTAAGTATTCCTAAGTGGTGAGAAGATTTTCTCCATCCACCGTAGCTTTGCATCAAGCGGGATGTATACTCCCGAAGTTGGACCTGAGACGAGTTTTCTAGCCTTACCCAGAAGTCCTGGTTCTGCAGCAGTTTACCAAAGGTGCTGCTACGAAAGGGAAGTATTATCCCCAATAATGGAGAATCAAATGGAAAACTAAATGGAAAATTAAATGGAAATTGGTGTTCTATAGTGATTTATAACCCTAAACCCTAAACCCTATATCCTAGTTTGACTACCCCACGAGGTCTTGGGAATCCCTTCAGTTGGCCTCCTGACACTGGCGGGACCTGGGGCCATGGCTAAGCACGGCCCCGCGCTGCTGGGGACAATGTGGGAGTTGCGAAATATCGGCTGACCAAGTTTAGGGTTTAGGGTTTAGGGTTTAGGAGTTTCAGTCCATCAGGATCCTGAGTGCTGCCCCTAGTCGAAGGGCTTCCAGACTGCCCAGCATGGTTTCTGGAGTTATGCACTTCGCATGAGTGTCCTTTCAGAGGTTTGGAGTTTCCATATGTCAGGGGTCCTCATAGTCAGAACCCAAGGCTCCACTAGCTGCCGACTTCATCCATACAACAGGGTCGTCATTGAGAGGGAAGCCTGTTGTGCCGAGGACGTTTTCCAGAAGTTTCACAAGAGGGATCATGAGGGCCATCTATAGTCCACCCCCTTCATAAACTGGCATTTGAATCATTTCCAGCATGTTTTATGAGCCCTTGATGTGAGACACTCCTTTTCAGCAGGTTGGGCACAATGGCAATCAAATACACAACCGCAGCAACAGAAATGTCCCGAACATTGCTTTGAAGCATGGGCCATTGGCTCCTAAACTCCCAAATTGGGTAAGATAATAGCCCAAAACCAATAAAGACAACCCAAAAGGCAATTATTTTACATAGTTTAGGGGTTCAGGTTGTAGTTTGGCTTGGAATCCGGACCTTCCCAAGGATTCCTGTTTTGCAACCCCCGACCCCCACAGGTCCTTGCAGGAGGCAGGGCAACACACCCAGAGTTTTGCCGATCATCTCGCTGCGACACGGCGTATCAACGACGTCTACGGCTTGGCCTCTAGCTATTCCAATGGAAGCCATGCTTTGGATACTGCCCCCACTCAGTAGTAGTTGGATAATAGCTATCATGCAAGTATACAAAGCCGCCTTTGATATTACCCCTATTCTGACTGTTCCTGGGTGTGGGCAGGACCCAACCCATTTTCTTTTCGGGGTGTTGCTCTTTGCTTGTCAGAATAAACCAACAGAGAAAAGCTGTGACTTATGCTGATCGCCGCGTGTCTACCTTCCAGCGTCATGCAGAGAAGATGCTCATTCAGGCTTGTGGCTTAGCCTCCACGTCCCCGCAATCCTGCCCGTAGCAACTTTCGGAGAGATTATATGAGGTCCCCCAACCCTTGCCCCAGGAAGGAATTCGTTGATTGACAGAATTCATGTTTTGAAGTGGTTTCGAATTCAGCGCAGTCTGTATTTGAAAATAAAGGTGCAGGAAAATCGGTGACTCTTCTTCTGTTCGGGTTGGGGACTTAGGCTTTGAAGACCACGCACCTCCTCCCGGATGGCTACTTGGACACCTGCCTTGCCAACCCCGTGCTGGTGACAACGTCCGAAGAGTTGCAGGACCCTACAACAGAGGCCCTGGCCCAGGCCTATGCGCAGGACGGCGCACGCTTCACTTTTGTTGGTCCCCTCCTCTTGCCGCCTCCGCCTGACATTGAGGTGAACAGCATCATCCACAGGGTCCGAGATGCCCGCGCAGCGGGCAAGCGCATTGTTGCAGTTAGCATGGGCACTGTGATCACTGGCGAAGACAAGGTAGCAGGCTGGGATGCTGATTTCAACGGCCAGAGTATCTCCGGCCGAGATCTTTGTCGCGCAGTCTGGGCGGGCACCTTCGATGCGTGCAGCACGGCAGATTTCTTGGTTGTCGCGGCCCTTGGATTTCAGCAAGAACCTCTGGGAAGCGTCCGAGTTCCATCTGGTGCCTTGTGCGTGACGTCGTTCGCGCAAGTGGAGCTGTTGAGAGCCGGTGTGGATGTTTTCGTGACACACGGCGGCCAGAACAGCTTTACGGAGGCCTTGTCCTGCGGAACTCCAGTGCTGGTCTGTCCTGGATTCGGGGATCAAGTTGTAAATGCTGCGAAAGCTGTGGCTTTGGGGGTCGGCCTCAAAGTGGATCGCCCAAAGCTCGCAGCGCCGGGTGAAGCCTCTGCCGCTGTAATCAGGTACAGGGAAGATGTGCGAAGATCAGTGCTGGAAGTCCTTGGTACACCGAGCTATCCTGCGGCAGCACGAGCGCAGGCTTCAAAGCTCCGTAGCGCTGGTGGGGTTCGTAAGGCATTGGGCGTGATCCTGAAGGCTGCAGAGATGGTCTCCGTGCCGTACTTGGCACCATCCGTGCCTGCAGCAGCAGGGGCTTGAAGCTGGGATTCGATTTGGAGATGTAGAAGTCCGACTCCAACTCCTGCCTCTGCTATGTGAACAGAATATGTGGAGAGGGGCAGGTCATCTGAGATGTGCAGCTCAACTCAGATAGCTTGGAAGGCACAAATCTATGTACAGGTCTTTTGGCGATTTTTGCGAAGGATGGTGACGCATTCCTTCTGCAACAAGAAGAAATCATGTGCAAACAGAGCCAGATCATGCGATACAGCATGTAAGAATTACTTGAGCATGAGGGCGGCTGCCCAGAGCCTCGCTTTGGGCCCCATTGTCGAGCAGCCACAAGTATTCTAGTATCAAAACGAAAAGATTTATCGATATCTATCTAAGAGATAATCTATAGGGAAATATAGGATCCTTTTATTAATTATTGAAAGAAAACATATCTATCGTATTTCAGAGATCATTCTATTCAATTCCTTCGAATATATTCCGAAAATAAATGCTTATAGAATCTCTGGCCAAGATCTCCATGCCCAGGAATTGATACCTCTAAATTTGAAAGAGATAATCTCTTGAAGAAGATAATTCCCTAAATGATCTTATTTCATCTTCTTATTATATGAAAATCGAATTTCATTATTCTTCGATTTCTTCTTTTTTTCAATTAATTTAGAAATCTCTGATATCCGCTGATCTTTAATAATAAGGCTTCTTCGTTTTTATAGATTGATTGGACGATATTATATAATCTTCAAAGAATATAAATAGATCGTAAAATGATATATAATTGATTATCAAATATCAAATCGAATTTTTATCGAATTTTCAGATAGAATATCAATAATAATCGATAAGGAATTTTCTATTCTTTTTCATAATCTGTTTTGTATATATATTTATTTGAAATATTATTTTTGAAGAAAATATTATTTCTTTATATAGAAAAATTAAGAATTCTAATATTTATATGATATTTCTGCAAGCTATCTAAATAATATCGTAATGATGTGAGTATTATAATGATAATATGATGAATGATGAATTCATGATTTTAAAGAAAGAAATCATTAAAAGATAAAATTAATAAGATATTTCTCTTTTTCTGAATAAATAGGCAGATAAATGAATATGATTCTCAATATAAGATTAAATGATTTTCGAATTATTATTTATATATGGAATAGAATATTTAATATATTTTCGTTATTATTAGAAAAGGCAGAGCATGTCATCTATATTGTCGTTTCTTTCTGTTGGATATTGGGTCTCTGGATAGGCGGAGCTGAATATACGAATTGGAGGTTTGATATCGTATTATTGATATGAGGGATAAATAAATGTTTTTTTCGTCATATGAAATATATTAGGATTTCGCTTTTGATTGATCATGAATGAATAAATCTTGAAAAAATCAATTATATTCAAAATATTTCATGGTTTGAAAAATATCGAGGATACTTCGTATCTTTCTAGAATATATGATAATTGATATTCGATATAGAAAAAAATATGAGCGATTCTCAATTAAATTTCTAAGAAATGATATATTGAAATTTATAGAATAAGATAGGATCTAGAAGAAATAAGATATATAAATTTAGAGCATAAATTATTCAAATTAGATCTATATAAAATATGAATATAAGAGAATTTGCAAAAATTTTCTATTAGAATTACGAATTCAAATCTTATCTTAAATATTTCTACTAGATTTATTCTAAAAATATTATATTCTAAAATTTAAAATTTTATTCATTGAAATTTTCATTTTCATAATTTTATCTTTTATTTACCATCTTATCTATTATCATAAAATTTAGTATTCTCATCTAAGAATCTTTATAAAGAATTTAGATGAAATTATTGAATTCATTTATAATAAGAATCGAAATATATATTATCATTCTATTATAAAATCAATCTTATGAATTAATATGATATATTTTAAATATCGTAGGTTTTATGATAGAAATATAGCTTTTTTCTCTATCAAATCTATCAATCATTTTTTGAAAGCTATCATATCATTTGCCTAATCTGTTTTGCTATCCGTGTCAACGGATAATACATATTTAAGAATATCTATAATGAGAAAATCGATGAATAAATAATATATGAGATCAAATATGAAATCCGATGAATAATCATTAGATAAATCCGTATGTGATAAAAACGATCCAATTATAGATTCTGAAAGATTTTGGATTTCTGCCTCGGATATATTCCGCCGAACCGCCACGCAGAAAATCAAAGAGAGAGAAATGATTCGAAATCTCGAGTGGTCTTTGGTCTTTGATCGCACAACCCCCCGCATCTGTTTCGGTCTTTTCGCCTCATTTATCTCTCTTAGATTACCTTCACGACGATTCGGAAGAATGCTTGAATCTTCGTATATACGACGTAATCAATGAAATAAATTCTGAAAATCAAATTGAAGCTCCATCTCGGAAATATTCGTTCCGTCGAATAATCGAGCAGATAATCAAGGACAGATAAATCAACCAGCCTATTCAAAAGTTCATAAGAAATCCGAGAGATTTTTGTTTTCGGTCGTTCGTATACCCCTCCCCGCATCCAATCCCATCTTTCTCCCTCATTTATCTCCTCTTGGACTATCTATGCGGCGATCAACGAATAAATTCTGATAATTTTTACGACTCTATCGATTCCATCGAATAATCGCGCAAAAACCCGAAGAAATTAATCAAATATTCGCGTAATGCCGCACGTAAAATCCAATTTTTTTAAAAAAACAATCTATCAATTCTAGAAAAAGATCATTCGAAATCTCTTTAATCGGGTAATCTCTCTAAGATTCTCTCGACGACAATCCAAAAGAATTCTACTGAATAATCGCGTCAAAAGAAATATATCAAATCTATCTTAATTTTATATGAATTGAGAATCTACAATATTATTTACATATATATATATTTGAATAGTTTATTCGTATGAGAATATATAAGAATCAATTCATCACTTCTAAATTGTATATATGAGATCATCTATTCCCAATATATTAAAAGCAGATTATATTTTTCAAATTCTTTTTCGAGAATTTCAATTATTATTTATAGAATCCGAATTTTATATAGAATCTTTTTATTCTTAGAGAAGACCAATAGATTATTCTTTCTTTCTCCATTTGAAAGAAAAAATATAATACGAGAAAATTCTTAAGATATATCAGAGATTGCATATTTCAATAATCTATATGTCAGCGATAGGGTGCGGCCTAATTTTTATATATTTTTTTTAATACTAGCCATCTCCAGATTTTCAGTCCGGGCGGCACGAATAAATAATCTCGAAAGTGCTTGCTCGCGCAGCCCTTGATTCGGGAGCGAATTTCCGCTTTCTTTATCTTTCTTTGGCCGTCTGCGCGGCTGTTCGGCGGAGGGCTTAAACCTAGGCGGGGACCCGAAATCTATCCGAATTTATAGGTTGGTCGTATCTATCTATGAGGATTTATATGTCTCCCGCCGCGCAGATAGTCAAAAAGAGATATAAATGAGGCGAAAAGATGGGACCGGATGCTGCGGCGCAGGACTAAAAATCTACCGAGATTTCGAATCATTTCTCTCTCTTTGATTGCGCGGCGCGTCGTAGGAACCTATATGCCCGGGGCGGAGATCCCCTGCAGAATCTATAGATTGGCCGTTTCCAATCGAATGACAAGTCCGACAAATAATCTCAACAATATCGTAGAATATTAGATCGCGATCCCTTGATAGAAATGTTGATAGCTAGCTTCCTAGGCCGACGACTAAATATTAAACAAATAAATTTCTAAGATCATTTGAACCTCAAGGAATACTAGAATCAACAGATTCGATAGAAGACAGACGGTCGGACCGGAATCTACATCTATAACCATTTAAACCTCGTCGTTCAATCAATATTGCATTGGGTTCATTTTGGCGAAAGCAATCTACAATCAAGACGGCTTCATCATATCTACGTCTTGCATTTGATGATCATTGTTGCCTATTGTTTTATTACCATGCTACTATATACGTCTCAAGCCTAGGTGCTTATGATCCAAACCCACAACATGAATTATCGCAGAATGCATGTTCAAATTGAAGTTGCAGGGGAGCTTGCGCATCATCAAAGCTGCAGCTCGTCCTGCTCTGAAACCTCGTCCTTGCGGAACAGCTACTACGCGCAGTGATGTACACAGCAAGTTTGTGGCCCGGAAACTTCTAACCTTAGATCCAAAGCAAGCTTTCCTCTGCGTGCCACAGTGACGGAGAGTCTGCCTTGGCAAGGCAGGCCGGCCACACCTTTAAAGGGGGTTATAGGGGTTATATAGGGGTTACATAGGGGTTATATAGGGTTGTAGGGTTTAGGGGCTTTGGGTTTCCCAAAAGTCCAGGATTTAAACTGTTGGGCAGTGCTGCATCTGTGACAACAGAAATATGCAGATGAAGCGCAGGAAGCGGGGTGTCGAAATCCCGCGGGCCACCTGGACTGCTGGAGAAGCTGCACAAGTCCGGTAGTTTCCCAAAATTAGGGTACCCCAATACAGACCCCAATATACTATAGTCATTAGTATATGGATCACCCAAAAAGGCACCCCTAATTTCGGGAAACCTCCATCCATGTATGATGTGAAACGAGCTAGAAGTTGGCACGACCAGGTGTGCAGCTATTTAAGGAAGCAGACTTCTGATCCAAGCGACTAAGGCTAAGAATCCAATGAAGCTCTTTTTCTTTCGCGCACCTTCTGCAGCAGCTGCAGCCAGCTGTAACCGGGCCTCAGGCTTCCGGGCTCTGCAGGGGTCACGGATTTCCAGCTTCATTGGTTTTGAGGTGTTGCATGCGCGACTCCCTTGGGGCAAGCATGGGCTCAGAACTTCGCAGTCCCAACAACGGCAGCGTGCCTCTTTTTTTTTCATGCGGCGTCTCCGAACATGGTATACTGGGCATGCTTGTTACATACCCATGTCGAATCAAGTGAGCTGCTGCATGCACATTAAAAGGTTGCAGCTGCAATGAGAACTTGAGCAGCTGCTGTGGTTTACAAAGTACGC